GTCATGTTGCGCCACATTCCGGACCGAGGGATGGGATGATGGGTTTATTGTGGTGGAGTGGCGTAGTGCTAATGGCACTTGGACCTTGAGATGCGCCTACCATGATACTTTAGTATTCGGTGCATGGGCACGCCGAGTGATGCGATACTTGTAGCATCGGATGGTAATTACTTCACCAACACCCGTAGCTAGCCACAACACAGTCGAGTACCGTACCATATCATAGTTTACTGTACGCCATGATACGGCGTGGTGCGGTAGGGTTCGAACGACTGCGATTCCCAGTCTCCTCTGGGCGCTCGTCATGATGTGGAAGGCAAGATAGGAAAATACAAGACAAAAAAGCAAGCCAACATTCTGAGAGCCTGGTCGAGTGGAATACAGCCAGCTTATATTACACGCTGCTCCAGAGCAGTAAATTGCGAGCGAAATAATTGCCGAGGGCCGACCGAGCCGAACCCCCATCCAGTCCGGGCAGCTCTCCGACGCCTGATATGACAAATGATCCTTCCCTCCCGCCCTTCACCTCTTTATCATGTCAAAGCTCAATAGCAATAATAACAGGGCTGTCACCGTATCTGTACCACTTATGGATGGATGGATGGAAAGTCTAGAACCGATGGCTGCTCCGACACGCTCTCCTGTCTCGGTTTTATTTTTATATCACGTTGATCAGAAAGGAAGGAAGGAAGGAGTGATAATTTCATGACAACCCGTACCATGCGCACGTAAATGCGTAGATATAGCCACATTTGGCCGTTTTCTTTCTTTCCTTCTTCCTCACCTTCCCCTTCTTCTTCTGCTTCCTATCCTTCTTCCCTTCCTTCGCCTCCCTCATCTTCTCCCGATAGCAACGTCCCCATAACATCATAATAGCAAAGCAGGAATACAAGCTATCGGTAGTGTACTGTAACGCTCACCGCCGTGACGAACGAACATCACGTTAAATTACCGACAACCTATACCCTTCGTCCAAGCCATTATACTGTTTATTTGTTTTTCCCGTTGTCCCCCCCCCCCCCTCCTCCGCCCCCTTTACCATATCGTATCGAAAAAACTTTATACTCGTCGTACTCTTTTGCTCGCTTTGGGCTAGTGCGTGGTGGGGGTAAATAGACTGTGGACTGTATACGGTTCCTTGCCTCAACGGCTCAAGCTGCTTCTCTTTCCATTTTCTCCTATCCCGCTAGAGTGCTCAAGTTAACGAGCGAGTGCCTGATGCGTTTTTTTTTTTTTCCTGCACTATCGTAGAGGCGGGCTATTCCAGATAGCAGATGTGCTGGTGCGAATGCAGCGGTGAGACAATGTATCAGATTGCACTCCACTGTAGTGCTACAGGTACAAACCGTGTTTGTCCCACAGAAGAGTTACGAGCGCGGTAGAAATGATGCGATGTACTGTACTAACTGGTACATACGTACAGTACCGTAGCTGAGCGGAGAGATCCGCCCAACCCATTTCCTCCCCGCCGCCAAACGCGGGATTGATTGATTGATTGACTGGCCGATTGATTATCGACCTGCATCGAATCCTTCTTCGCCTTCTTCTTCCTTCTTCTCCTTCTTCTTCTTCTTGTTCTGCAAGCACGGGACGGGGAGAATAACCTCGGCTCCCTCCGATATATTCCCCTCCATACAGTATATATTATATTATACCGTTAGGCAACAATTATCACAATCATTATAATTTTAATCTTAATTTTAATTATTTCCCTTTCTCTTTTCTTTCCCTCTTTCATCGCTCCGCCCCCATTATTTCTCTCCACCCATCTCGGAGATATATACTCGTACCGTACTCGATCGAGTACGGTATGGTACCACAGTAGTATCACACTTCCTCGAGTGCGCTTGCTTGTCCCGTACTGTACTAGTGCTAGTACTAGCACTAGCATTGTACAGTACCCCGGTCAGTCGGTAACACGAGCCTTGGAGATCGCGGTTCGAGAAAGAAAGAAAGAGAGAAATGCTTGCACAGCTGAAGGTCACTACCGTATCGAGAACTTGGAACCCACTCCTTTTCATAAATTTGATGCTGCAGATCGGTCGGTTGGTTGGTTGGTTGGTTGGTTGGTACAAGTAGAGTAGAGTAGAGTAGAGTAGAGTAGATAAAAGATAAAAGTCTACTCATGGTGGGGGTTTCGAAGAAAAAAAGGGGACAAAAGTGGTGAGTGTTAGGCTAGTACTGTACTGTACTGTATCAAGCAAGGCTTAGCTAGCTACTTTAGCTCATCCATCCAGTTCTGAGTGGTGCACGATATCGGTATGTATGATAGCACAGTTCTCCAAGTTACAATGTATCATATGACAGTGTATCATACATACGGTGCTCGGGATGGAGGAGGTTTCAACATGTTCGTTGCCCTACTGCGCTGTACTATTCTGTACTATTCTGTAACCCTACTGCACCGTAGCCCACCCGTCACGTTACTATCATACCATCCCCTTATTAATCCAGTCGTCATTCCAATAGCATGTATGATACAATACAGTACAGTACACCTCGCGCTAATCGCTTGGGAACTCGCGGCATGACACCGTATGACCGTTGGGCATAGCATACTTATCATAGGCACAGTACAGTACAAGCACTGCAACCGTTACAGCATATGGTACGATACGCACTGCACCTTGGCGTTATCATCGTACCGTACAATAAACTGGTACAGTACAGTGTTATCGAAAAAGTGCCGACCGACCGACCGACCGAGGCGTTCTTGTTAAAATAAAATATTAAAAAAAAAAAACTACCGAGCCGTTTACCCTATCCACCACTTTTTTTTTTTTTTTTTTTCTTTTTCGAAAAAATCTAGTTTTGGTTCTTGATTATTTATTTTTAAACACTTTTTAGGTAAATGTAGGAAATAAGGAGGAAATGGATCAGAGTTACCGGTACTGTAACTTACTCGTACCGGTAACTGTACTCGTGCCACCGATGGGACAGACGGACGGACGGACGGACGGACGGACAATCCGGTAGGGTACGGTGTGTTGGTTGGTTGGTTTGATACTTGATCGTGGTAACTTAGATCCGTCATAATAACATTATGATTATTTTTATTTTTATTATTTTGCTCATTTATTTCTCTGGGGTAGGGGTGTCACAGTTGTACAAGTAAAATAGCGTGCGCGGGGGGGGGTACTGTACTTAGACAGTACAGTGAAGTACAGTGAAGCACACTATGGTGCAATTCGGAGTAGATGTGCTCATTTCTTCCCTTCTCTTCACTTCCTTTCACTTCATGGTGGTTTGTGCCTCTTTCTCTCTCTCTCTCTCTCTCTGTATGAGTATGTACTGTACTAGCACTGTACTGTGTTGTAGTAGTAGAGTACGCTACAGTGCAGCATATATCTGCATGCGTGACGTTACCTATTATATTGTGCTAGTACTTCCCAACGCACCAAAAGAAAAAATAAAGGATGAAAAAAGAAAAGTGAGGCTGATGCGGTTTTGTGCGCAAGCAGGCTACCGGTACGCTGCTGTGCGATGCCGGTATCATACAAGTACATCACGGTACTTTTTTGTAAGAATAAACAGTTCAATTTCTTTATCGTAGTGTAGTGTACAGTAGTGTAGTGTAGTGTAGTGTGCTGTGCTGTGCTGTGCTAGCGCAATTGATGCGCGCGGATACGGTACAAAGTCATGACAAAAAGACTACCGATATGGGGTACCGTACTGTACTGTATTATATGTATGATACCTCTCCACTCACGCGCAAAGCATCACACTTGTAGTTAGCTAGCTTAGCTTAGCTTAGCTTAGCTTGGTCAGGGCGCGAGGTCGAATTGCCCCCTCCCACTCCCCCCCCTACTCGTAAATTATCCATCTGCTCGTACTCGAGTGTTAGTACCATACTCTACAAGCACCGTAGCAAGAGTTCCCCCCTACTCGAGTAGATTTACCTCGCCGTCTGGATTTCCTGAAGATTGCGAAAAAAAAAGAAAAGAGAGAGAGAGAGAGAAGAAAAAACCTCCGCGGCGGACCTTTTTTTTTTTTCCCCCTCCAGAGCCCGGCAGGACACTTACTGGGCTCGAGGATTCACAATATCCGATTCTTCAGTATGATACCAGTACAACCCCCCCCGGTGAAGGCTCCTGCGGGGAAAAATAAATAAAGTTAATAATTTTACCATGCCTGGATTTGAAGGTTGCGATCCGATTCAATTGGTTGATTGATTGATCGATCAGAGGGGCTCTTCTCCGTTTTTTCTTTTTTCGTCTGGGATTGGATGCAGGGTATCTTTTTTTTTCTTTTTTTCCCATCTATCCACCACTTTCATCTTCACCCTCACTTCGCTTCCCTTGCTTACGGAGCTGGTATGGGGCCATTTATTTATTGTTGTATCGCGCGGGGAGCGCTGATGATCACGGCGGCGGTGGTGGTGTGAGGGTCTTCCCGGTCAGTTGGCTACTCGAGTACGGTATTCGGTTACTTGTGATGCTTGGATGGTGGGGGAGGGGGAGATTCCGAGGCGACACGAGTTTTTGCCAGGTGTTTACCGGTACCGGTAGATGGAGTGGGGGCGCTGGGTGGTGGCTGAGTCCTCTCGGGGTTGTGGAATCGATGTTTGGTTTGCAATAGGAAGTTATGCGTGGCATATGCGTGCGGGCTAGCTTGTTTCGTTGCTATGTGAGGACATCCCTACCCGATTTAGGCAACTTTTACAAGAAACTTTTGAATGTACTCGTACAAGTACCGGTTGGCACTTTGTGTTGGTGTCAAGGGTGCTTGTGCAGGTACTCAAGCACTCCTACTGTATATCACTAATTTGCTAACCAGCCTGGCTGGCCAGCTTTACGTCACCGTGGATCGGTACGAAAGAAGTAGGGGCAAGCAAGCGAGTGCTAACTTGGTGTGATGATGATGGTGATGGCATTGATACAGTTGGGATTGGGCGCCCCAAGGTTGGTCATATGATATGATTGCCGGTAAGGTGAAAGCCCAAAGGGGAAAAAAATAATAATCTCACGGTGAATCACGGTATTCGACAATTTGCACCATGGCACAGTTACGGTACTCAATTGCCTCGAGTATCATGGTTCGGATTTGGAATAAAGGTTTCCCCCCAACTGCTGGTGTATCACACCTCCTCCGGCAGCTACAACTTCCTCGCGTGCATGCGAGAGGGGGGGTCCGACAGACTGCCGCTCGATGGGGCGATGCGTGATACCTGACGCGGCGAGAATTTCACATGGCTGTAATGGTTAAATGGGGGTTAGTTAGAGCACTTGACACAAAACTTTCAAATGGACGGACCAATTGCAGCCCCCTCCCCTCGCGGCGAGTTATCGGAACAGAATGGCAAAGTTGTTTCTCGCTCTGCCCGGGTTCACTTCCCCCTTCCTGCTGAACTCCCTCTGTCGTCCTGAAGATCGAGCTTTGCCAATGTGATGCCAGAGTTGGTATATCAGTTTGGCTGAAAGTTTCCTCCTGGCCAACTGGTACCCTAAACTTCCCATCATACCCTCCAATCGCTCCTCATCCAGATAACGGGAGTTCGTGATGCACGGAGCAGGTAGAACAAGGAATAGCGATGGAAATGATTCCGTCACGCGGCTGGGCCCTTCTTCCTGATCCCCCTCCAACAAGGTGTGCCGCAGGAATTCCGTTGTCCGCTCGAGCATCTCCCCACGTGCTGTTGGCAGAGACACGTAGTTTAGCACGAGAGACAGTGAGATGATGTCGAACTTCTCGCTGTCGGCAGTAGGGATAGGTCGATCCATAAAGTCCTGTGCCTCAATGCTTGGATCCCGTGAATTGAGGTCGATCCGCGTCACGTCGAATAGGTTCGACCTTGAGCACGCGTTGTCAGGGCGTAGAGCCCCCACCTCAAGGAGCCGTAGTCTTTTGTTCGTGACCTTTTTATTTGTCGACGATTGAATAACTTCCCTTAACCAACCGATCAATATCTTCGAGGAATCCCCTCCTCGTTGGTTACCTTGACCGCACACCTATTGTAAATGAAACACACAATTCAGTTCAAGTGTTCATCTCTCTTTTTTCCTCCCCCCCCTCCCTCCACGCTCCCCCCTGTACAGTACTCATCAAACTCTCAACGCCAGGTCCCCATCGGTAACTAACAAGTACAGTATACACCCACACCCCACGACCATCACATCACATCACACGCATAAGCGAAAAAAGGGTTGAACAATAATTCCAGGGACAATGACGATAGTAGACGCACGCTTGCCTGCTGATACCTCTCAATCCCACCGTCTGCCTCGATCTCCGCTCGGATGGAGTTTGCAGTTTCGGTATCATTTTTGGATAGAGCTTGCGAGAGCCTCTTTTGCAAAGTATGGTGGTTCCGAATGAGAGCTCTTCCGACTTTTGACGATAAAGATGACGTGTTGGATAAGACCCTTGAAGCCACGACTGATGACCCATCACCTCGCAAATTGCGATGTCTAGACAATAAGATCGACCCGGGCTTTTTCGTCCTCTTCCTCGCCCGCGTCATTGAAGGAAATCGAAGCGAACTGTTGGGGTATTTGTTGAAGTCTGATCTGCTGTGGTTGCTGCCGGTTGTTGTTGGAGCCCGGTGGGGTCTCATAGCCAACCGGTAAGGCGTGGGAAAAAAATTTGATGAAAATTAGGCCCGAAAAGGCAAAAGAAAATCATTCCCCACCCTGACCCCCGCGCCCGCAACAAAACTGCAACAACTACCAGGCAACATGATACAGGTATCATACTCGAGTACTGATTTGCCCACTCGACATCTCCGGGGGTGATGTAAGGTACGGCAGGCAATTTTCTTCTGACAAACGGATAATTGAGCTGACAACCGACCCCTAACAGGCTTGACACGGACACGGCAAGTGATACTATTGAAAGGCATTCTCCGTCAAGAAACGGCCGGAAATAGGCTCGAGGGGTAGGGGAGAGAAAAAAAAGTGCCGATGTCAGTGGTGAAGCACCAAGGGCTCGGTTCTTGGAGAATGACGGGCGATCCCACGCACAGGGTCCAGACCGGCCACCGGGTCCCTGGGTATGCAGGAATGCAGCATCGTCACCTCACGTTTTCACTTTATCATTTTTCTCCTCGCCTTCTCCCACAGACTGCTCGGGAAAGGGCAGCGGATACGCATAGGAGAGTAACTCGAAAGAGGCGCAAGAAGATGGCGGTAATATCAGCCACGATGCAAAGGATAATTCTACCTGCTGAGGTACAGTACATAGCTGGAGCAACAACGAGAGGCGAATTATATGTCAATAATTGCGCCCGTTGTATTCCTTACTGGCCAACTGGGGCTCCCGTATCATCACGCCTACATAATTGGCGGAGCAACTACGAAGCAACTAATTACGCTATATAGTTACGGCCTACGCATATCGTGCTGTATTACAATATACTTCGCACAATGCGGCTTCTTACGGCTATCTGCAGAGCTCGCTTCCTGTGAAATTGACTCAGCTTCACGTTTCGCGGGTCCTGCGCAATTATCATTACCATTGTTATTTCATATTTTCTTTTCTTTTTCATTCTTCATGCAGTTTCCCAAGATTCTGGCGTCCGTCAGGCAAGTAAGCTCAGATACAAGACCGGTGCTGGCCGAGAGTGTGTGTGGATTGGGTGGGTGGTGTGATTCTGCGCGACAACTGCGTTTTGGAGAGCAAAAAAAAAAAAAAAAAGGTTGACAATCCTCAAAGCGTGGAGTTCGTAATCAGTTCAGCAAGTTCAAAAATACGCTTCGCACTTCCACTTGTGTCAATGCATCTCCTGGCCAAACCTGGTTTACTGCATGGAACTCGAATGGAACTTGATATTTTGAGATCTGCCTTACAACGAGCGATATAGGGCTAACAATGATCCGGAGTTAGCCACAATATGATACGAGTATTTCGGCGCTGAAAGGGAGGGGGGAAAAACAAAAGAGAGAGAACATGAAAGATGTTGTGTTTCCGATATGGGATACCTCTCCCCCTGCAAGGTTGCTTGTATTATCATACCTTGAAAAGGAAACAGAAAAGGAATTACCACAAGTGCCATACCATGGAGATATGTTCCGTGTCCAGCGAGGCACCTGCACCGCAGGAGGTTTTCGATTTGTGCGAATTTTTTCCTTCTTGCTTTTCCACTACCGGGTTTCAAAGGCTATTCTAATCTGACGCGGGGAATGAGTATTCGGTGGCCCACCTTTGTTTCTGAGATTATATTTTAGGGGGATCGGCGGCACCATTCGATTGCAAAAAAATAAAACTACGCAGGGAAGTTACGATAGGGTGTGATTAGGAAGAGGTTATTATGGTTCCAGATACTCATTCATACCTTTGCGGGGTGCAATACCGGTACTGTAGGGAATGGAGTGGAGCATCGTATCATACCGGTAATGAAGTGGGCCGTCGTAAGAATCAAATCGGTTCCCCCCGCGATCACGAACCCCCCGTGAATTGTGCCCTAGTTACGGGAACGGGCGGAGCACCGGAGAAACCGGTATGAAGCCTCGATCGTCTTGCTTTTAAGCCATGTCTTTTTCCTTTTTTCCCTCGATAGGCCGGCCCGAACGAACAACTAATCCTCCGGTTACGCTACCGATTTCTTTTACCTTATTCTCGTTACCCATCTACAGTACGTGTACTTGCAGACAAAAAAGAATTACCACATATACACCGGTACAATGCAGCCAACAAAGAGCTGGTTCATGAGCGAGCTGAAAATAATGTGAAGCCGGGAGTCCCTGACGATCCAATTGTGTGCAACGACCCTCGCCATAGGATACTGTACGAGTACCGGTACAGTAGGGTAGTAACAAGTGGGGACTTAGCCGAGTCGAGGTAAGCGAAAATGGCAATCTCCCGGAACCCAAAAATCGCCTCCGGCGTATCTTGCCAGTGCAGCAAAGCACGGCAGCAGCTTGCCATGCCAATTTTGAGCTTAATATTGCAACCCGAAGGAGCGGCTTTGGCAACGAAGCTGACCACCTCTCAAAAATCCCGAAAAGAACTTGAGAAACATGTTGAAGTAATTGCAACACTGCGAACCAATATATAACCTTAGGCTTTAGTGGCTTGGTTGATCTCACCTGTACGATACTTGCTAGGGAAAGCGCTCGAGTAACCGTAAAGCATGCAGGTAAGTAGGTAAGCATCAAACTCTCCCTCCCTTCCTTCCTTCCTTCCTTCCTTCCTAGGCGCCATTAGGAACTTGCCCCGGCTAACAATTGAATCTGAAGGGGGGGGGGGTTTTTTTGCCCAAACATCTTGACACATCTCACACCCGTGCGTAGAATACGAGTATCGCATCGTTCTTGTATCGTGCGACGAGGAAAGCGGGAGGCAGAGAAATAATCAATCTACTGTACGCCATCTATCTATCTATCTGCAGGGGTGGAATACTGCATGCGGATAAAATTAGGTATGGACAATACAAGAGAGTACGAGGCCCACAGAATAGTCCTCTTCTGCGTTACGGTATTTGTGCCGACCGGCAGAGCACTTCTGCTGTACAATACAGTACAGCACCGAATCCGATTTTCAATCCGACGAATAAGCCGCAGCCTACCAACCATAATCCAATCGGTTCGCAAGTTCTTGCCTTACTGCGCCTACTACTTACTCCGGAGTTCTCGAAATATTAGGAACATTCAAAATGCGTCCAACGGCGGCCATACCCTCCAATATGAGCGACTGTGCTGGGCACGGCAGAGCACTCGAATACGCACCCTTACTATACCTGGGGCCCAGGCAAGTGCGCCTAACAACCCTCTCGTTGGCCCCGGACACGTCGACCAGAGAGAGAGAGGGAGGGATAGGGAGCAGGGTATGCTCCAGCCACCGAGGCGAGAATATGATACTGCTATACAGGAAATTGGAGTAAAACGGATTGTTTCGCTGCTGTACTCGTACAAAGCACATGTTCACGCTACACACGCGTAAATTCAAACTAACCGGAGCCAGGCTCAACAGTACTCGAGTACCGGTGCTAGTACTTGTACTGTCCCCACCCATCCCAAATGACGCGGAGTCCGGAACGTAAAGCTTGTTCAATCGTACATTTCGTGCGATACCCCGATCGCTCACCCACACGTCGCATGGCAAGGCATGGCAATATCTCCGCTGGTTCAAATAAAGGTCGAAAAGATGAAAAAATTTTCAAGGCAAAAAAGGAAGAGAGGAGGATTGACCAATGAAAGATTGCCGTCTATCTAGTAATGATTGACTGACTGATTGATTGATTGACAGGGTGATGACGGTACGGTAGCCAGTACCAAGCCGATACGTCAAGCTAAAGCGAGACATAACGCACGAGACAAATTGGACCAGAGATATTTTGATAACCGGATGTTGCCGGTAAAGCGAGTTGAAGTAAAAAAAAAAACGCTAGAGAGAGAAATAGTATGAAATATCACAGATTAGCACGTGGAAATACGATTTTCCTTTCCCGTTCCCCTAACTTTTTTTTTTTTGTCGTCTACCGGTATATACGCTTTGCGGATTGATTGGCTTCTTTGTGATTGTGTTCCTTTTTTTTTCTTTTTTTTTCTTTCCCCTTTATTCCTGAGGAATGGATGGGATGGAATGGAATGGAATGGGGCGGACGTGGTCTTCCGTGTCTGCAGTATCTATCCATCTATCCATCCATTCGTTGATTTCTTGTGCTTTGTGCAAAAAGAGTTGCTGTATGATAGTTTTTTTATCATAAAAGGAAAAGAAAAAGAAAAAAAAAGGATTGTCAAACTGGCTTCGGGCGAATGAAAGGACCCGGTCACTGTACGAGTACTACAGTAACATGATACCTGTAGGATATCAGTACAGAATCGTATTGGACAGCGTAGCGCACAGTACCGATACCTGTACCAGTACAGTATGGTGCAGTACGGTACTCTTATGGCACTGTTGATCACTCCAACCCAAGCGAGGGGGACGGGAATGAAGACAAAACGCACGGGCTTCTTCTTCTTCTCCTTCTCCTTCTTCTTCCTCTTGGTACATGTACAGTAGCGTATGATATACCGGTACATGGTGTCTTCCACGACTACCGTATCGTACCGTCTCGACACGATCCAATACCCGCCCTGAAACGGCAGGAATGCAATAAAAGCGAGAAAAGAAAAACAGATCTCCCCACGCTCCCCTCGCCTCCCCCCCCCCCCAATTTCCGTGGGGGTTTCGAGCACGGACTATGATTTTATTTTATCTTTGATTTTCTTCAATCCTTTTTCGCTGTCGAAATTTGCCGTACCGTGGATCCGTTACACTTGAACGACGTATTACATCGTACTGTACAGTACAGTGAATATATCGTGGTTTATTGTACTGTACTATCGGTATGTATGATTTCTCGATCGCAGGAAGGATCCACTCGTCGTTGCACGAGCACAGTACAGTACAGTACAGTACAGTACCGTGCTCGAGTAGAGCAGAGCAGAGCAGAGCAGCACAGCATGGAAGAGGCATATTTTATATATATATATATAATTTTTAAAAAAAAGAGAAATTGTTTCTTGCGGTTCTCGGTAGAGGACCGTAACTCTCGTGCAAGGCTGAAAAAAGAAAAAAAAAAGAAAAAAAGTTAACCGTAATCTTATAATTGTTTACTGTATCATACTTTATCAAATATGATGACAAAAATTCCCGGCAACAGACTCGAGTAAATTGTTCACGTTTTTTTTTTTTTTTTTTTGGTGGGGGTTTATTGATTGATACATGTGCTGTGCTGTGCTCTGCTAACTTTTACTTGTACAGTTACTGTTACTGTTACTGTTACTGTTACTGTTGCGCTACAGCTTCTGTGTTACCGGATCTTTGGCTGCAACTGTACTGTACAAGCATGATTGATGGATAGATACCCTGACGAATATCACCGTTTATGACCACCCTTTCACATTGAAGGTTCCTTTTTTTTTTTTTTTCATGGAGCTGGAATTTGGATAGATTGGCAGTTTTTGTGAATCGATCAATTCAATTCAATTCAATTCTTTGAAGCGAAAAAGAGGTTTTGGTTTTTGGTTATTCGACAGTACTAGTACTCGAGTACATAGAGAGGATATTGGAATTTATGCACTAGATACATAAATTCTTGGCGCTCAACGCTACCATCACACAAAATCTCGGAATTATTTCTACATTATCATCCATCTTAGAACCAATTGGAGTGAGGTCCCAGCGGAATTTCGGAATCTCTGGTTTTTCTCGTTTTTTACCCATTGATATATATTTTTCGATTTAATCGAATATATGTAAGTGGGTGGGTGGTGCGAATAAGTGATTTACAAGAACCGCACCCCCTCCCTCACTTCCGCCGTTTCGGTGCGCTTTCGGCGGTTACTTTATTGTACTGGTACTAGTACTTGTGCCCACTAATGAGGGCTTTTGTCCAAGAACTATAAATATATATATATCGTTGACCATGGGTTGACGGTATGTGATGTGTTTGTGCATGTTCTGTATTTGTAGGGTATAGATGGCCGAGCGGGGGTGGGGTGGGGGGGTAGGTGTGGGGAAGTATAGTACTCGTACTTGTAGGGAGGGAGGGAGGGAGGCTACTTTTCACGAGTGCAGGCGCTGCTCTGTGCGCTATCTGATATGGTGAGGTACTTGTCCGGAACAGAGATCCATACTGACGTGTGTGTACTTTTGTATTTGTATATTTGTGTCTTCGTCCTAGGACACACAAGTGTGGCCGAAAACGGGGGGGTTATATTCTACCATATTACGAGTATTATATTTCTTCGCTCCCTTGTTTTTTTCTTCGGCTATCATACTTATGATCCGGGACAAGTATGTATTGTACTCGAGTACTGTACCCTGGGGGGGAGGTTGCATCATCCGGTACGACTGTGCTGTACAGTACTCTGCAGAGCGGAAACGATTTCCCTTATAAAAAAAACGACGAGATCATGGGTATCCCAACCATGTCGGATGAATGGCATGGTACGGTACCACGAAACCGCCCGTTTTAACCCCCCTTTCCCCTCCCCTCCCCTCTCCCCTCCCTGGAAATGGTTACTCTGCTGCCGTCCCCGGCGTCCACAGCATCATCATCAGCATCGACATCATCATCATCATCTTCAGCCGCTGTCTACCGTAGCAACCAACCAACTGACCGCTCCCCCCCCACTACCTTGCCAGCCGATTCCGCCAAAACTCCCAACAATCTCATCAGTCAATCTTATATTGTCCGTGATGTGTACCTCGTCCCTTCCTGCTCCTCTGAATCATTTCCGTCCTGTGGGGCTGGGTAGAGCTCTGGAGAGTGACGAGATGAGACCACCTTTTGAAACCTTCAGCCTCCCCCCACCTGATCGCAAACTATATATGCTCTATTAAACATTCGTGCTGAGCCTCGCGGCAACGGTGGTGGAACACATGATAGGCAGATGGGGAAATAGACAGGATAGGCTACCGATGTCTGCCGGCCCAATCTATCGGTTTTGCTTTTTTTTGTCTTTTTTTTCTTTCTTCCCCTTCTCCTTTGGAGAAAACGCTATTGTCTTGTACCGGTTATGATAGCAACCGGTCGGTACTTTCACAACTGCCGGGAAAAGAAAGGAAGAAACCCGCGTGGGGATTTTCCAAGACAGTTTACCAAGCCGTGTGGGGAAGCGCAATGCAGTCTGTGATAGGTTTGGGGGAGTTGGACGGGTTAGCGGCGAAGAAGGAGAAAAGGGAAAAAAAAAAAAAAGGCAGAAGACGGAGGAGATCTGGGTAATGTGGTACCGGTAGTCAAGGGAGGTAGAGTTGCCATGGATGGTAGGGTGATAAATTATATTGGCAATTTTGAAGAGGGAGCACATGATTGATTGTTGATTGATTAATTAATTGGTATGCAGGGCCCTGGACCTTTAACTGACGATGACGATAATAGCATGGTACTTGTATGGTGGGCCATGAAGCGCTCCCTCCGAGATCGGGCTCTCGGGGGGAGGGGGGGGGAGGGGCGAGGAAATATTTCTTGAGCCCTGCCCCCCTGTCCCTTCCTCGGGGTAGAGGAGGAGGAGGAGGAGGAGAAGATGGGATAACATTTGTCTAACTTTGGATCATGATGATCCCGCTCAAGCCAATTAACAGCCGGATTGGACCTGGCTGGCTAAACTGACTGGTAGGAAACATGATCCGGTGAAGGCGGAGGAAAGAGCCATTTCGCATCGAGGAAAATGCAGAGGGGAGCAAGAAAACTCGGATCACATAAGAAGAAAAAAAGAAAGAAAGAGAGGAAGAAGGATATAGCAAGTATGACGGGCGAAAGGGGAGGGAAGAAGCGCGAGGTGGCGTGCTGTACGGTACTGTACCACACGGTACGGCTGTTTAGAACAGGTGCTGATACGGGTACGGTAGTACAGCACGGTACCAGTATCGTACATTTTAACTGTAGTCCGGTCAAACCGTATCACCGACTGACTGAATCACCGCGGTACTGAGTAGTGGTAAACCATCCAGCGTGGCAGGAACGGAAACCCCCTGGAAAGCATTATTATGGTGGAAGGGGACAGAAAAAACCCCACGCGGGAGTGGGAACGGGAGCAGGAGGGAGAGGGAAGGGAGAAAAAAGAAAAGAAAAAAGGAGAGAGAGAAACGTATCGTCGCCTCAGTATATCCGCAATCGAAACCAAACCCGCAAAAGGTTGAAGCAAGTGGAAGAGAAAAAAGGAAGAAAAAAGCAAGCATGATACTCATCGCGAAAGATAGGAAGGAGGGAGAGGAAGGAAGAAGGGAGGCGCTGAATTGGGCTTCCTACATTATAATATTTGCCAATTCCTTGAGCTAAGATGGGATACCCACGATACGACACCGTATTCCGGAGCCCTCCAGTTATGATATCCAAATTTCATAATACCATATTACCATAGCTGCCTGCCCATCCAGCTTACCCTCAGTATCCTTTATGGCACCGTACAGCACCCGCTCTGCTATAATAGCTGACTTACGCGCATACCATCATCATCATTATTATTACCATCACTATCATCATTATTATCATTATTTTCTTTTTATAAACATACATCGCCCACCACACTGGAGTTTTGGGAAACTCTCCCGATCGTACATGATCTCGGTGATTACTGTTAGACCCATTGCGCAACGGGGTTTCATGGTAATGGCTCTCTCTCCCCCCAACGGGCACCGGCCCCTTTCTCATTAGCCCCTGTGGAGTCCAATTGAGCGGGGGGGCTCCACCGGTATCTACACGAGATTATGGGGGAATGTTATATAGCATCATATCACGCAAGTATGTGTGCGTGTGTGGGTGGATGTTTGGATGTTTGAATGGATTGGTATGCATTCTTGCCCTATGCTCTGGCTGACGGTACGGATGGGAGGTGAGGTGGTGGTGGTGGTGGTGGTGGTGCTAGTAGTCAGTGCCAATATCATATCAATTGTGCTATGGAAGGGGGGGCAGCGCAAGATCGATGCAGAGCTTCGTAAATTGTAACACCCTGCGAACGCGGCAAAAGGTCAGGAAAAGAAGGAAAGAAAAAGAAAAGAGTGAGAGTGAGGGACAGAGGGAGATGTCACGGTCACGCTTTTATCGGAAATGTCATTTATCTCGCCGGTTACTCTCCTATCCCTTTTGTCAGATATGCTAACCTATTATACTGTATATTTCCGGCTCCCCTCTCTCCCTCCCATGATGGTTGGTGGTTGCCGTTTCTGCTGTCATCGTTATTGCGTCTCAAGGTTCAGGGCTGTGGAGGTGCTCGGATGTGTCACGGTAAAGTAGCGTAGGGTACAGCACTGCACAGCGCAGTATGGGTACCGGTGGTATTGAGATTGAGATGTTACCCTTTTCATCCTTTCCTCCCTTCCCTTCCCTCTTTCCCCATGAGGGGATTCTTTTTAAAGTTTCATTACTATCACGCTGGGATTTTCGCTATTCCATCCCCCTACCGTTTAGTCGATTCGGTTAGCTTTTTGGCTGCGCGAGTGGTGGTAATAATAGCTTAGGGATTTGCGGAAGGCATTGGCGGTTTCCTACAATGATAGTCGTGCCCTGCTGCACCGGGTTCAGAGGTCTCGCGTCACGATGCCTAAGCTCCGGCCCTGCAGATGCGAATACCGAACCCTTGGGATGGCGTCGAGTGGGGACACTTTTCCTGTCCATCTCTTGTACGAGTACCGTATGATACGAGTAACCAGCACAATACCGGTAGTCCATACCGGCATTCCCTTCCGCACCCCCCCGGAGTTGCTCTGTGTGCACTGCTCTCTCTCTTCCCTCCCTCTCCCTCTCCCTCTCTCCCTCCCTCCCGCAAAGAGGCTCGTCGTCACCTAACCTTTCCTTTCCCTCACACAACCACCACCAACCCCCTTTACCACGCTCTCCCTCCTTTCATCATTCCATCCGTTTTGCTTTCATCTCTCCGGGAAACCTCTCCCATATCAGCTCCAACCGACCACGATTCCATGACTTATGGGGGTTATTCAATTATGCCTCCATATCCTCTGTTTGTGGGAGGACAAGGGCGGGGGGCGAGGGGGTAAGGGGGGGGCATGCAGTGAGCGCTGGTGCTGTGCTGCTGCTGAACCCTCGGCGAGCAAGAAGCACGCAAGAGTGTGCACTGAACACAGCGCACTCGCTCACTCGCTCGCTCCTCCTCCTGCCTACCTTTCCCGCTATCACTGTTCCTTCCAGTACGTGCTCTTGTCTCTGGTTCCTTGCTCGCCCAACCCTACCGCCCCTCTCCCCCCCCCCAGTTCACACAATCGGGAAAACATGGATACAATTAACTGTCACCGCACTTTCCGCCAGCCAGCCCTTTTCACCACAGCTATACCGGTACCGTCTGTCGACCGTACCTTCATCCCTCCCCTCCCCTCCCCCTCCCCTCTCCATGGCCCTCTCCCTCCCTCTCCCTCCTACTCCCCCTTCTCCCTCTCACCTGCCTCACCTCTCCTCCCCCTTTCCTTCCCTCTCCGCCCTTCCATATACTTGGTCCACAATGGGAGGAATATATATAACATGGCGGCACCCCGCTGGTTCCCACCGCCATGCTCAAGCTCAACGCCGGCACTATCCCCTCAGCGCCATACCCTACCTAGAGTCCCCCGTTCCGGCCTGTGGACTGCCCTCACCTCCTTCTCCCATCGTTATATGCAAACATGAAGGGAACAATGATTGCATCGGCTCCCCGGGTGCCTCAGTCTTCACCCTTCACCTCCTCCGTCGAGGCCCCATTGGCCTCCCTCGTGACCGGCCTACACCTCTCCAGTGGTCTGAAGTTTTCCCGGCAGTATGAGGGCACAGTGATTGTCCCAAAGGACCCGGTAGCTCGATTTCACAGCCTCTCGTGCTTGGCAGCTTGCCTTCTTCTCTCAGCCCTGGCGATATCCTGCCTTCTGGTTGCTCTTCAGGACTACCGGCGTCACGCCATCATGTATGTCTCACTTTTTCCTTCCCGGGGTTATAACTGCTCTCCCCTAAAGCCTTGTCTCCCTTCGCACATTGGCTGATGAGAGGGGATCGTTCCGTGTGCGAAATTATAGGCCTCCCGGACCCTCCCCTGTCCCTTTCGTGGGAAATAAGTGGGACTTGCCTCTGCAGAAGCCCTGGTACAAGTTCAAGCAGTGGACCGATATGTATGGCTCGTTAGTAACAGTATGGACTGGGCGCCGCCCCACAATTGTGATTGGAGACCCAAAAGTGGCTTGCGACCTTCTGGATCGCCGCTCAGGGATTTACTCGTCCCGTCCTCGATTCGTGGTCATGGGTAAGCCCGCACTCTTTTTTTTTTTTTTCTCCCTCCCTCTCTCCCTCTCCAACACCACCTTTATCTGTTGGGTGTGACGAGTAGCTAATCGTGTCACGGGGGGCTTCCTTTCTCCTTCTCGTGCTCTTAGGTGAACTCTTCACGAACAATGATTCTCTACTCACAATGCCCCACGGAGACAAATGGCGAAAGACCCGGAAAATCTTTCGTATGGGGCTCCATGGGCGCGCTTGTGAGAGCTACAAGCCGATACAGGAGGCAGAGTCCCAGAGGCTTACTCGCGATCTTTTGGTCACCCCCGAGATATTCGGTAAACACCTGGAAAGATATGCCTCTTCGGTTATGATTTGTGTTGCATATGGACGTAGGGTAGACAGTTTGGAGGACCCAATTGTCAAGAAGATTTACGACCGGATGGCGTACATGTCGACTCTCAATGTGTAAGTTGTTCCGCTTACCCTGATTGTTTCCCCTGCCCGCCTGGTCTTGTATGGCGCATTGTTACCCCTCCCCGCCGGGTGAGAGGGCCGTTAAAGCGAAAGGAAGAGGCTGATAAATTTTTGGTTTCAGACCTGGAGCATTTTGGGCAGAGTCGTTTCCTATCCTCAAGCTTATCCCCGACTGTTTGGCCCCATGGAAGCGAGAAGTTAAGCGTCGCGCGAAGGCCTCAACCGAGATGCTTTCTAGGCTCGCACTCGATGTTAGAGACCGAATGAAGAAGGGGGATGCTCCAGCATCCTTTACGAAAACATTGTGGGAGAAAAAGGAAGGAAACCCGGAAGCTCTTTCCGAGCGAGAGATAGCATATGCGACCGGTTCATTGTTTGGTGCAGGAAGTGATACCTCATCTGCAACTCTTATGAGCTTCTTCCTAGCCATGACTTGTTTCCCGAGGGTTGCTGCGGAAGCACAGGAAGAATTGGATCGGGTGGTCGGCAGGGATCGATCTCCCACTTGGTCTGACAAGCCAAATCTCCCGTACTGTCATGCGGTTATAAAGGAGACTCTGAGGTGGAGGCCAGTCGCTGTTATGGGAGGTACACCCCATGCAAGCATCAAAGACGATCGATACAACGGTCACTTCATCCCAAAGGGCACAACCATACTGGGCAACCTGTGGGCAATCCATCACAACGAAAAGTACTTTAAAGACTCTCACGACTTTATTCCAGAAAGATACCTTGGCTCGGGAAAAATTGACGGGATGGAACCATATCCACACCGTGATGGACATTCCGCTTTTGGCTGGGTGAGTTTTTCTATTCCATCCTTGCACCCCCCCCCCCCCCTCCTTTGATTCTTATTTTGCCTATTCCTCTCCTTCTATTTATGTGCTTCTCCGCCCCAACCTTTCTTGGGCTCCCCGTCACTTGGGACTTGGTCAGCTGACAGATCTTGGTTACCAGGGACGCCGCCTCTGCCCGGGTAAACAGCTTGCTGAGAATTCCTTGTTCATCACCATCACTCGGGTACTTTGGGCCTTCAATATCTCCAAGGCGACCGATAAGAGCGGTCAAGAGATAACTCCAAACATTTTCGCATATACAGACGGCTTTAATTCGAAACCGCAGCCATTTCAATGCCTGATCCAGCCCCGCACGCCTGGCATCCGGCAAGTTATTGAGCGCGAGGCAAGCCTTGGGGAGCAGTTTTTGGATAAGTACAAGTGCAATTGAGTTGGAAGAAGAGAAGATGAACTTTGGCGATTTCTTTTTCTCTTTTTTTTTTTTTTTTTTTTGGTCATTCTGGCGCAGTCGGTTAAAGGACAACGGAGCACGAGGGTTTTCTTTCTTTCTTTCTGTTCGGATTTTCCACTGCAATCATTTCCCCATTTAATTATTCTTCTACTTTGTGGTATGGCATTTAAAGGAATCGGCGCAATGACTTTTTTTCTCTTTTTTTTCTTTTACTTTTTTCTACTTGGTTATTCTTCCGCTCGGTTTATTTTTTTTATTCCTGCCATTTCGCAATCATTTCACACACTAAATGTGTTTGGTTCGGGGTATCTTGGCTTGCGGCGGTACGTACCCTTTATGCCTTTGTTTTCTTCCCTCGGATCGCTACTATCGTGTGAAGGGGGGAGAAACTTCTAAAGGGTGCGGGAGGAGAGGGGTATGTGGAGGTGGAGGGAAAGGGAAATGTGGTAAATAAAGGAACTTTTGGGGGATTTTCTTTTTTTTTCTTTTTTTTTCTTTTTTTCTTTCGATCTAATGTAAGTAATACAAGGGGGCGATGGAGATGAAGAAGTGGTGGAGGGGGGCTGCAAGTGTGCAGATAGAAAGAATGATACATTCGAGTATGATACCATAGCGGATTATGGCAAGAACTCTTGTGCTCGCGATCTCTGGTGCTGTATGCCTGAAATCTCCGAATTCAGAGGAATAGCGCCTTCCTTGCCCAGTACCCTGAGCCTTTTGGATGTGTTGGATCTCATTAACCGATATTCGCAATCGCGTTAACCTCTCGAACCAAACCAATCCCAGGTTGGCGCGGTGATTTCCGCTGGTGGCCTGCACAAGTACCGATACTAGAGTTCTCGGGGGTGCTCGTGTGATACTGCTAGTCAAGAGTACCGGTACTAGTGTTACGGTAGATCGGAGAGGGAGAGACAGTCTACCTATCATCATATCCCTACCTACCGCACTCGTACAGTACAGTACTTGTACCAGCCAACCAATACCGTAAATTTATACCCACCCATCCACCCATCCACTCATCGTATTCCGAAAGCGGCAGGCGAGCGAACCAGTAAACAGCACCAACCCAGCAGGCCAGTTCATCTGATCTTTCGAGACATGGGGAAGAAGGAAGGAAGGAGGAAAGAAGGAAAGAAAGAAAAGAAAAGAAAAGAAAAGAAAAAGAAAGAGAAGTGGAGAACTCGCCTGTGAAATAAAAATAATAAAAAGCGAAACAGCCATGATCAAATTTTTTTTTATCTATTTCCTTCCCTTATTCCCTCATCATACTGTACAGTACCGTACGAATACTTTTTTTTTTTTCTTTTCCGACGGTGCCAAGGAATACCTCCTCAAGGTTCGAATCGGTATGTGCAGTACCATACCGAGAATTACGATACAGGGACGAACACTTGCGGAGCACTACAGTATCGCACGAGTACGGTACCGCACTGTACAGCGCTATACTAGTATCCGCTGTCATGGTGAGTGTCTGCTACCGGGGTATACAGACTGTAATACCGCTGTACCGTACCGTACTGTACAGTACAGTACAGTTTAAGATTCTAACTCCACTGAACTCGAAAGTACAGTACCGTAAACTAGAGACACATCACAAACGCACGAGTACAGTACTCCACCCCGCATTGCTGCAAGAGCGGGGAAGAGATTAACGGTGCGTACTGTACTGTACTGTACTGTAGTTCGTGCATGTTCATGCCTAAATTTTAGTCGTGTCATATGATATATATAAATATATATATAGTGGTATTTTACTGGTACTAGTACTTGTCCCCCCCGCCCCCCCCTTTTTTTTTCCTTCTCGATCTAGTGAATAAGCAAGAAGGATATCTGTCTACGGTGACGATCACGCATTCGAAACTGCACGATGCGATTGTTGTTGTTGTTGGTGGTGGTGGTGGTATGATACGGTGTATTGCAGTACTGTACTGTACTGTGCCCGGTTCGGGGTAGTTGGATGTCAGTGGGCAGCATTTCATTCATTCATCCACTCATTCACTCATTCCTGGAGTACTACTTGTTCCCTTTTATTTATTTATTTATATATTTGTGAGTACTGTAGGAGTACCGTAGGAGTATATACTACCATCCCATCCCCCCTATACACACACACACATGGTCCAAGACTCACACAACCAGGAAAATAACAACCGTGGATAGAAAGGTACAATGTGAACGAATGAGACAAATTCCAATAAGTTAACTAGAGTTTCCAAACAGAGACCAGTCCCATAACTGTACTGTGCAATACCATAACCGGACCTCCGGATGCGTAGTCTAAATTACAACAACCGCATACCGGTAGACTAAGAAATCACCAAGCGCACGACTCCACCGCGCGCCAGATTCGGATAATTAATTATTGTAGATTTGGGGGTTCCGACGAGTTTTTGATTTCTCATCCCATCTCCACTCCACCCCCCCCCCTTTTTTTTTTTTTTCTTTCTTCGCCGGTGATGTGCCCGTTTTATTCGTTGTTTTCGTTTGGAGGAGGAGTTGTGTGTGTGTGGGGGTATTCATTTATTTATTTATTTATTTATTTATTTGATCGTTTGTAATTAGAGCCTGATCTGGTGGATGTATTTGGATACTTGTACAGCGCTGTATCGTATCGTATCGTATCGTATCGTATCGTGTCGTGTGGGGAAATGGATGTTATTATAGCCGTGTGATTGTCGCTGTGCCGGTTCGGTATTGTCCGAGTACTCGGTATGGTGTGTCATGCTCTGGTGGAGGGGGGAGGGGGGGTATTGTACCGTAGGGAGGAGAGTGCCGAAAAGTGAGGGTTAATGCGGTTTGAGAGGGTGCTCCATCGTGGAATACGGTATAAAGTTAGTGGTGATATCCATCCTGTCGATGGTGGTCTAGTGTGATACTATGCGGTACTCGTACTTACTGGGGTACTGTACGGCGCTAGTACTGCTCTCCCAGCCAAATATACTTTATCTATCTATCTACAGTATCTATCTATCTGCCAGCTGACCGGACCGACCGTGTGGTCGAGTTTATCGTGCTATAACTCGTATAATAATAAATAATAACCGTACGAGTACATATCATCCTACTCGAGCACAATATCATATGTGCAAGCGCGATGGCATGTTGACTTTTTTTTTTTTTCCAGCCTCGACCAACTTGCCGTACCGGTAAGGCCCGGCCAACCAGCCAAGCCCTGGAAAGCTCGAGCACGGGGTCTGTATGATATCGCACAGCACAGCACAAAATGATACCAAGAACGGGATTCTCCTGTTTGGTTGGGACATCAAGGACCACAACAGCAATAACAACCTCCCTTTCCCTCCCCCCCCCCCTCCTTCCCATGCCATGGCCGTGGCATGCCTTACCAGGCCTTGCCCACGCCTTGTCATGCCTTATGATACCAAGCGTGCGGCACATTTTTGGTTTTCTTTCTTTCTTTCTTTCCTTCTTTTTTCTTGAAAACAGAAACGGCTGAAATGTGCTTTGTACTCTTTCCTTTCCCACCCATCCAATCCAATCCACCTTGGACGTAAAAAAAAAAAAATCCCAACGGTTTTTGTTTTTCCTTTATCTCTGTTGGCTTTTTTTTCTTTTCTTTTCTTTTCTTCCCTTTTCCTTTTTCATTTTTTGGGTTCCGTCCTAGCTTGTGGGGAAGGAGGGGGAAAGGTTGGGCAAACCCCTGAATTACTCGAGTGAAGGCGGCACGGCTTGGTTGATCGGAAATCGGGGTTTTGGGGAAAAGAAAAGAAAGGAGGGAAAGAAGGAAGGAAGGATGGAATGAAGGAAGGGAGGGAGGGAGAGAGAGAGAGAGAGAGAGAGAGAGAGAGAGAA